GTAGTATTACTCTTATTTTTATAGATGAGAACACTGAAGCTCAGAAAGATTAAATAACTTGTCCAAGGTCACAAATATAATAAGTAATAGAGTCAGAATTTGAACCTAGTTTTATCTACATGCAAAATGCATACTGCTTTGTACCTGATCCTAGGACCATTACTCACAATTTTTGCTATGCTTAAACTTATTGCTGTCATCACTGAATTGACCTGATCTCCTTCAAGGTCTTGCTCAGTTGGATGACCATTCACTTTTCCAAGCATGATGTCCTTTTCTAGGGATTGGCTCCTCTTTTTTCAATTTTATATTAGTTTCCTTACAAATTTTGTATACATTGTGTTTCACACTATTTTTCATTCACATTGTGTTTCATACAATCATTCTCATTCATTATATTTTATAAAATTAATCACCAGTGCCCACTATTATTCTGTCTTTTCAGGTCCCCACTGAAAACACAAACTTTCACAGTTTGGTGAGTGGAGGGAGGCGGTAAAGGAAATGGGGATTGGCTCATCTTGGTAACATGTCCAAAGTAGTTGAGATGAAGTCTTACTGTTCTTGCTTCAAAGGAGAACTCTGACTGTACTTCCTTTGAGATAGATTTGGTTATTCTTTTCCAGTGAATGCTATATTCAATACTGTTCACCAATACTACAGTTTAAAAACATAATTAAAAAAAAAACAACCAACACACCAAACCCAACCCTCATACTGTTTCTGACCTTTTCTTTGAAATGGTGTAACTGTGGTAACCTTCTTGGGTCTTTATTTCATCTTATTTCCTGAGAGAGTACCTTAACTGTATGTCCTGGTTACGTCTCTACAACTCCAAGGACAAACAGATAAAAATTTTCCAGAAGTCCTCCTTTTTGTCTTTTCTTCTTCTATACTTATTCTCATTCCCATATAAACTATTTTTCTTGGGTTTTGGTTTGCTTTTTTTTAAAGGGTGAAGCACTGGACTTAGACCTAATAGTCTAGTCTGCCTTCCATACAACATTTCAGCAATAAATAAATAAATATAAAAGGTGAAGTTTCCATTTCTTTCCTGTAACACTTTTGCTATCGTTTTTTAGCACAGAATTATGTTCTAAGCTGATTGTTGCTACTTCAGAAAAGTATTAATGCTTAGTATAATGCTTTACACACGAGATACAGAACATCTGTAGACTTACTGATTTTTTAAAAGGACATGCAATATATATATATATATATATGTTGTTGGTTATGATTGTTGTCAAGTCGAAATGGACTCAAAGCTGACCTCTAATGGGGTTTCAGAGGCAGTAAATTATGTGGGAGCAGAATGCCCACTTTTCTTGTGGCAGTTGGGGGATTTGAACTGTGTTCTTTGGGGATGGTAGCATAACTCTCTACCCACACAGTCACTAGATTGCCCCTTACATTCATGTGTGTAAATATGTAAATGATTCCACATTAAAGGCAGCTGTTTTGCAATTTAAGATTACAAAAAAGATAAACAGAAACACATGTAAAATCTAAGTTTAAAACCCTAAATAACGACTGAACTGTGATGTTGAGAATTTATAAATCTGATTTAATTTTTTTAGATAATTTGTTGCAAGTGTTTCTTGTCCTCTCCACAGCAAAAAAAGACTTAACAAATACAAATACAAATACTTTGCTTACATTGATACTATTCTGGATGACTTTCCTCCCTGGCCAGTTATTTTTATATAAATTAAAAATTTTCTGAAATAAGTATATTATTTTTATAACTATTTTTTTAGTATATATCACACTAAACTTTGTATTTTTAACACAATAAAGTGTGGGTTTAAAGAACGTCTTAAATATATATAATTTATGGAAATAAAGTATTCATTAATTAATTAATGCCATGTGTCTGCCGGAACAACTTATTACATAATATTCAGTGTATTAAAAATAATTATATTTTCACGGGATTTTTTTTCGTTGCTGTAGATGGTCATGGGGGGTTTTGTGTAATCTCTGTGAAACACTGATTTTCAACCTTCTCTTGTTATCCAGACAAGAATGACATTTGCCCCTGTATAGTCTGAATTTATAAGGCTTTTAACTCATGTATGTTTCTTTTCTAAGCATATTAAAGTGCTTCAGCCACAGTAGAACTCAAATGGAATGAGTTCTCTATCACTGGAACTACATGGTAGTAAATCCCTATCAATGGAAATAGTCAAAGCAAAGATTTCTCACGAAAAGGATTCTCATGTTGGACAAGTGGTTGCACATGCTGAATTCTACAGTCTCCTTCCTGTTCTACGATTTTAAAATATTTTTTAAAACAAATAAATCTATTTTCACCATACCATCACTTACTAGCCTCTGTTGTACTGAGTCTCTTTCACTGTTCAAATCAACCTCAGAAAATGCCCTTCTGATCCAGCTTAACTTAGCAAGCTATCTAATTATAATTGCTTCTTGTGGAGAACAAACTGCCATAATATTAACAGTTTCCTGCTATTTGAAGTTACTGAAATGTGCTGAAGCAATGAAGTCAGCAAAATGTCTTTTATATGGATCTGATGCAGTCTGTAACACATTATTGCCACGAGGGACAGCTAAAATGAAGTTATGTAGGAGTAACAAAATAAGATAACTAGGCATTTAAACTCACATAAAAACCCAGATGTGCATGCACACACACACACACACACACACACACAGAAGAAAATCTGCTTTTAATAAATACAAAGAAAAACCCAAATCAATTGCACACTTTCCCTCAAGGTTGTTAGAGGAGCTGTCCTTTCAGCACCACAGCAAGAACTCCTAAGCAGAGGCTCAAAACTGAGCCACAACCAAAATTTGTGAAGGGTTCCACAAGGAAAGCAACAAGCAACTGTGTGGTTATTTGTGAAAAGTGTTATTTGTTAAAAGTACGCAATATTACATTTCATTAGCTTTTACTAACCTAAAACACCCCATATGTTTTGTTAAAAATCACAAAACCGAAAATAAAAACCAAAGGCATATATTAAGTCATCCCCTTAAAACTGAATCCCAGAAACAAAGTCTTGGCCTGCATCATTAAGATTTGATTTGCAATACCCACCATGGGCTCTACTAAGAAACACAGTATATTTGCATATACCCTAATCAGATGTTCAGAGAACACAGGACATGCATGCAGCCCTCTCCAAGGAGATCTTCGATTTCTAGGACACAGAATGCTCACTGCACACCAAACCATCCCTCCCAAGCAATCAAATTCTCTTTCAGGGAGAACTGAAGGCCTTATGGGTCATGAGTTCCAAAGAAAAGACTCTGCAGTATTTCAAGAACCAGGTTACAGACAATGTGATACAGAGCTTTCAGCATTTTAAGTCAGATTCTCCTGAAATTCCTGCTAGAATAGTACCAACTGGTAATGTTATCCAGCCATTTGCATTACACATCAAAAAAGAAACCCCTTCAGATGTTTAATGATATGGATAAAGCCCCCCGCATATCTGCTAATGCATTTGGAGAAAAGAGAAGTAGAGAGAGATTGTGAAACAGTTAAAAAAAAAACAAACCCCTACCACACCCGAAATCTCACTTAGAAAGCTCAAATACCCACCCCCCCCAGCCCTCACACAGCTACCTCTGTAAAGGTTCTCCAGGTTTAAACTTGAGAAAACAGTTATAAAAAGCACTCTCTCTTTTTGCCCCCAAAGCCCTCACCCACACTTCCTCCTTCATCCCTGCTTCTCCGATGCCCACTGTGCATTAAAAGCAGTTTCCCCTGTGTGGTGGAGCTTGCTCCATGCTAATTATTTCTCTCCCCTCTGAATTCAATCAGATGCAACTGCAAAGTTTCTTTTCTCGCGCCCCCCCCCAACCCCCCAGATGACATTCTATTATTATTAATACGGAGCGCAATCCTGGAACCTCCAAACCGAAAATAAATTTTCCCATGCTCCAAAAACTGCAGTGTAAGTGAGGAAGAGGGCACAGGGTGGAGTAGTTGCAAGGAATGCATGGTTTGAAGATTACCAGGCTGAAAAAAAACGATTCCCACTCCAACCCTCCTCAAATCTAAGGACCCTTAAGGAGTCTCAAAGCCCTAGTTAACCCCCTGGAAAGTTAACTGCCAAGTCTCCACCGGTGGTTGCTGCCAGCGTTGAGGCTAGAGCGACCAGGAGAAATGCAGAGGGCTTGCAGTCCCCCCACGATTCCAAGAGAGAACTAGAGAGAAGGGGTCCAAGTCTGTGGAGTGGACTATCCTGTAACCTCAGCGCTCACAAGAAGCCCAGGGTGCTGCTGCTGCCGGTGGTAAGGTGGAGGAGGGAAGGGAGCGAGGAGGGGAGGTACAAGCTCTGCATCGGGTAGCGTGGGGGTGGGGGTGGGGGAAGGGGATATTCTGAAAGTGATGTACTCCCCAATGCAGGAATCCTAGCCTGCCGAGGAAGGTCCCGATGGCGGGGGGGGACGCACACAGCCCCTGAGCACCTTGTTGGGCAGGGGCGGGCGCATCCGAGTAAAGGACAGGGAGAGTCCGAGCTGTCCAGAGACAGAGAGCTGTCCAGAGCCCCTGGCTCCTGCAGTTGGTAACAATCAGGAGCCCAACGGGGAGACAGATGAGCAATAAGACATGGGGGAGGGAGCAGAGGTGAGGGGCTGCTGTAAGAACCTCCTTACAGCGCTGCCCTTCCCAATGCAGACCGGCTAGGAGTGCTAGCTTGGGGCTTGCACCACCGAAGGGGCGATGAGGCCAGGCCCGTACCCCGCAATGTAGTCAGGAGACAAGAAGAACGAGGGTGGAGGCTGGTGGTCCTCAACTCAACTAAGGAATCCCTAGTTAACAAGGTAAAGAGAAGCAAGACTTTCAAAAACATTTGTCCAAAACAGGGAAAGCAGCAACCCGATGGCCCTCTGAGCCCCGCCGCGCACTCTGCGGCAAAGCCCCTGACAGGAGATGGGTGACACCCGCTCAGAGGTCCCGAGGAGAGAAGGGTAGCCTGGCAGGCGAAGAGCAACGCCGGAGCGGGGGCTCAGGGGGGACTTACGGCAGCTGTAGCGAGGGAGGCAGCGACGGCCCTAGCGCGGGGCCCGGGAGGCGCGGCCGGACTGCAGAGGCACCGAGGCTGCGGCGGGCGGGACTGCGGTGGGCGCCATCTTGGAGCGCTCCCCGCGCCCGCCCCCCGCGCCGCCCG